GGAGGATATCCTTGTTATTTGTAGCAGAGATATTGGCTCCTGTGTCTGCTTGAAGATGGCATGTCATTGTTGTGTTAATAGGAGCGTCATTGGGTGTCTGTGAGTGGAATGTTTTCACCTGTGAGTCCGTTGCAGTGCCGATGCGTATAGTGTTGCGCGTGTTCGTCCTATGTGTCATTGGCGTGACTCGTATGGCAGGCTTGCCTGAGTTGTATTCGGATGCTAATGAGTCCCTTTGTATTTCAAACGGGAGGAGGTAATTGTCATTGGAATCRAATGTGTGTAGTGTTTCAGGGCTAGCTTCGGTCTCAGCACATGGATAGCATTGGTCAGTTGGAAACGGGCAGGAGCCGTGTGTGAGCGTCTGGGCTCTGGTTACATGGGCACAGCSTCGGCATTGGTCTGTGTTAATGATTGTCTGGAGTGTCACTTTGCATGCCTGTGGTTGTCTTATGAGGGGAGTGGGATAAGCTGGCGTTGTTACTGCTGTTATTAGTGGGATCCCTGCCGTTGCTGTTGCTGTCGCTGGGGTTGTTTCACAGTGACGTAGGWTGTTCGTAGATGTGGTAGGATATGTTCCGGTTTTTCCTTGTCCCTGTGTTGAGGTTTTGTCTTGTCCCCCGTGGGGACCAGTAGTTAGGGTACTGGTTTGGTTAGKTTCCATCGTGGGTTGCATACTGTTTGCTACCRTTGTATCGTTGAGTCCTGTACTTGTTGTACTGGTCGCTACTGTTTCWTTAGTTGCTACCATTTCATTGTTTAGTCCTGTACTAGTAGGAGTATTGCGTAAGTTATTGTCAGTTGGATTTGACCATGGTGTTTGTGATCCCTGTGTCGTTGTCGCAATAGTGTGGATGAAGATGTCATTGTCGTGTGTTGTAGTGCGTGCCCTGGGGTATCCCAGCTTGCAGATTCGTAGGGGTGGCCGTGCCTCGCTAGAAACACGGCATGTGTCCTATTCGTCGGGGATGACGGCAGTGAAGAGGTGTGCAAGTTCCTCTCTTTCGGATTCATGTTCTGCTTCAGTCAGTGTTCGACCGTTCAGCTTGCTTTCGAAGTGCGTTACGACGTTCTTTGTGTTCATATTGTTGTGTTTAACTGCATTAGTGCGGAAATCGTCCGGRTTGTCGGCTGCATATTTCTGTGCAAAGTGTAGTTGAGCTCCAAAGCGACAGATTTGATCGCCTACATTATGTCCAAATGTATGGCAGCATTTGCATTGAACCTTGTTCTTGTATTCGAATTTTCGTCGATTGGTATTGACTTTGGTTATCACTGTTGGTGGTGATGAGTGTTTGGGAATTATGTCCGGGTTTTCTAGAAGGAAGTTGATGATTGTCGTGAGCTGAAGATGATCAGGTACCGGTTTGTTGTTCGCATCCTTCGTTTGTCGACGGTGTTCGTASAGCTGTCCGAGGAGGCAGCATCCTGCYGAGTAATTGTGGTTCCTCATGGTCTGGTATACTAACTCGTGGCATTGTTCCAGTTCTGTATAGTTGTGTTTATGGCTCAGTTTACGCGTACGGACGAAATCCTGTAATTTGCCTACATATGTGCCTGGATCGTCTGTTGTGGTCCACTCAGGGCCCCATCCATTCTGTGTTGGGCGAAGATATTCAAGGGAGTTGCGGGCCATTGCATAGAGGGCTTCATACCCCTGGCTCTTTAAGGCATATGGGGCAATTAAACCCCGAAGATGAGTGTGGGTCTGTGGGATTAGTCGGGATAGCCGACGATAGATGTATGTACTGATCTTCTGTATATTCTCAGTGGATTCCTTGTGAGTGGGAGGAAGGCAGGTTTCRAGAATGGGGAGATCTTCCAGGGATACRATAGGGAGGCTCTCAAGGCACATCATAGAGTGTAGGTCGTTATAGAGGGCTGTGAATTCCGTAGAGGTAAGATAACGGTTGRGTTCTGGGACTATGTTGTGGTCAAAGTCTTTGTATTCCATGGCGTGGATGGCTTTGCTGATCCTGTGGTTCTGGTTGTGTAGGATCTCTTCATCGAGGCGCCTTTGTTGTTTACGTGAGTATGCCATGCTAGATTTTGCATACTCCTGGAACTTAATATCACTCTCACATCGGTTGGTCCCTTCTTTTTCGCTGTCCGATGATGAAAGATTGCCGTCTTCTGGATCAGAGTCGCTTGGGTTTGGGTCCCCAGGGTCACCACCGGGGTCTGTTGTCAGAGGGAACATTTTCATACTAGGCATGGTGGCGTTCCGTGTGGTGTCCGCTGTATGTCGAGTACTCTTGTTATCTTGAGATCTGGCTTGGTGGTGAATGCTGTCACTGATGTGATGCTGTATGAGGTCTTTCAGTGCTGTGGAAGTGTTGACATACGAGTGAATGGTATCGTTAATYTTGGTTTGAAAGTCCTCAGAGGATACTATTGAGGATAAGGATGTTCGAATCTGTCCGTCTATAGTGTTGCTGACTGTACTGTCGGTTTCAATATGGTGTTGTATCGAGCGTTCAATATCAGATGTAGCTACTGCCTTGGTTAGTTCRATGGTATCGTGTGCTGAGGCGGCTGCTTGATCTATTGCAGCTGTCATATCCTGTTTATGCGAGGTGAGTCGCACAATGTGGTTATTACACAGTTGTTGGATGTTGTGTTTATTGTTGGCAAGATCCGTGTGAAGTTGTGTGAGTGTAGCTGAGGCTTGATCAGTGATCTCACGTTTCGCTTTTGCAATAACTGTATCCTTTAGACTTTGTACAAGGGCTTCCTTGGTGTCCAATTTGTCGGCAATGGTTGATTCGATTGCAGCCTCCATACTCCGTGTATGGCCGTCGATAACCTCAGTGAGCTTCTCAGTGATCTTAGTTTCGATAGTGTCGCTGACCGTATGGAKGTGAGTTATACTTTGATCAACTATMGCCTGTATYTGTTCTGTTATGTCTGCCGTTTTTAGTTGTGGGGACTTAGTGGTGATACTGCTGGCCTCATCATAGACACTGCRGAGTTGAATAGTCTCATTCTTGATGGATGTTAAGATTGATGTGGCTTTTGTGGTCCTTCGGTCGAGTGCCCAAGCGGTGTTTGCTGATTCTTTAATATCTTTACGGAGGGCATCATTGATCTGCATTGCCTGTGTGAGAGTTTCAGCTTGAGTACGGAGTTGCTGTTGGAGACTGTCGACTGTTGCGAGGGCTGTATTCAGGGCTTCTTTGGTTGTGGTGAGTTCATTGGTTGTCGAGGCAATGGTTTGTTCATGGTGTTGCTGTATGTATTGAATCCGTGAGTCCATTTGAGCAAGTTGTGTTTCAAATCGTGTGGYAAGCTGAGCAATATCCTGTGCTGTGTTTAAYGGTGGTGTAGGGGATTCAAAGCTGTCCTTGAGGGATTGTAACTCATTGTCGATGGTATCATAGTGTTGGTCGTATCCAGCTATCTTTTCTGACATGGTGTTGGATTCTATGGTTGCATCGTGACTATCAGTGCTTGCATTGCTGCTGTTTGTTTCTTGTTTTCGTTCATCTTCAAAGCGTTGCTGAAGATCGTCTGGTGCTAATGTGTCCGAGGAGTCTGAGTCGCTCGTCTGGAAGATAGAGTCCTGTGCTCTGTTGTCTTCCACTGTGTCTTCAGTAGGACTTGGGAGGAGGTGTTTTGGTGGGCGTGTTAGTCTGCGTTCCGCAACTGTCTCCGGTGGTGTCTCCTTTGCTGGGGGGAGAATCGTGTCCATGTGGGTAATGAATGACACACTGTATTKGTACCTGGAGAATGATGCTGTAGGTGTGTCATCCTTTGGGGGAATGGAGAAGTGATTGCGGTGGATTAGTTCCTTTAGTGTTTCTCCCAGTGCTGCAATTTTGTCCGTATCCTGGAGTTCCGGAGTATGAATGAGGGTTAAGTGGGCCCGAAAGGCCTTTGGTGTTGGAGGTTTCCGTGGTTTAAATTGGAAGAGGATAGTATCGTATATTTTCAACGTTGAGGTCTTGGGGAAGACCAGTTGGATGGCTCTGATTTCACGCTGGATAGAGCCGTGATACTGTAGCAGTTGAAGTTTCTTCGTTGATGGCCTTGTTCTTGTAGGGGGTGTTTTTACAAGGTATCTGCTCATGGGAGATGACTTCCCTTGGCGTGGTTTGTGGCCCTGTCTCCTGGGTGCCGGAGGTGTTTTTCTAGGAGTGTTTTTGGGCATTGTCGACTTTATGTTGTGAAGTATCGATCGATACAGTGTTGTTGAGGTTATCGTGATGTTGTTGGTGTCACGAYTCAGGGTTCTTGGTGTTCGGAGATTGCTGTACCRTAGGATCTACRTGATTTAGTACTGGGTTCTCCGTCGTGATTTTTCACTAAAGATCACGAAAAATACTCGTGTCGGAAAGCTGGAGGAGTTGTCTGTTCCTGGTGTCGTTCCCCGATACGAGGAGCAGTAAATCAGACTGCTGGTTAGACTTACTATGGATGATGGGTTGATGAGCTGAGGTAAGTCACTTGTTGCTCATAACCTGCGAAATATACGTGGCTCCTTATAGTCGCATAATGCGGTGTTTATAATAAAGAGTGAGTTTATTCACTATCTATTCGTGATTTAGCCTCACAGTACTGACCCTCTTAGAGCTGATCGTTGATCGGTGATAATTGATCGTTGATCGTTGATCGTTGATCGTTGATCATTGCCAGAGCCAGAGCAGTTTGCAGTTCCCATAGATGGATGGACGTCACAGTAGGTACCGTACGTACTATCGGTAGACAAACGAAAGGAGAAATTTTTTTTTGTGAAATTTTTTCCTGATTCGGGTACGAGTAGTACCTACTACTCGTACTGTATAAGTACACATATAAGTACATACGGTACCTAATACATACTCGTACGTAGTGCTCATACTGGACAGACTGCCACAGATACCTGTACCGGTACAACATCCCTGAGCGCGGTCATGAACTCTGATCACAGATCACTCATCTAACAACAACTTATGACGAAATCGAAAAAGTATGAAAAAAGAGATACCTCATCTTACTGTACCTAAGCTAAGGTACAGTAGGACTCGTTCTTGGTTCAGTACCGGACGGCAAGAACCACCGACGAATATTTCAGCATCACAAACGACATTTTGTTCGAAAGCCAAAGGTACTACTAAGAAGCAAAAATTGTTCGACAGGAGCACTTCACGCAAGCACTTTGTCAAGAAAATGAAAGACTATGTTGCCTGTCTTCCTACCCATAGGTTGCTGATTTTCATCGCAGTTTTTTGTTTCGTGATTCTAGACCAATGCAACGGATTAAGCGGCAAAACCAATTTGAATGCAACTCCCGAAGCTAGTAGACAAATTACTCATCGAGCTTCAGCGATCTTTGCTCTGATGGAGAGCATGAAGAGGAAAAATAAATTCGCGATTCGCGTACTCGAGCAAGACCCATCCTTTTTGGATTTGGATCAAAAGGATCGTGCTTTTGCTAGACTACTGTTGTCGACAGCGGAAAGGAGATTGGGACAAATCGATATTGTTATCGAAAGTTTTCAACGCAAAGAGAAAAAGAAGAACTCCAAAGTATGTTAAAGACCTAGTTAATGGTGAAGATGYACCGTGCGAGAAGATCTTTGGTATTCGATTGATGCCCACGGCTATGTTACCTCTGACGCACTACGTTATTTCTCCTTACCTTTGTCTCTTGTTAAAAAAAACACCATAACATTTAAATGTAATGCATGATGAATAGCCTCGGTTGTCCGAGATCCTTGTCGAGGCAGCACTTAGAATAGGTGCTGCACAACTCTTGTTCATGGATGTCCCTAAATATGCAGCAATTTATGAAACAGTCGAGTCTCTACGGCTGCATCCAAAAATCAAGGTGCCGTAAGTCAAGTCCTGTAAAATACACCCATCGATGTTCGGTCTATGTTTATCAACCAGACCATTTTTTTCGAASTGTTTGCATCAATAAAGTTCGATGTTATTTTTGTGTCCACCACTGAGATGTGTTCGATCTCATTTGACACGTCTTCCATGCGTTTTGTGTCGACTCGCCTGCAGAAAGTCACAGATTAGTTTTGCAAATGCTGTGCTTAGAAATATTGATAGAGAAGGAATTCCTGTGTTGAAAACGACTTCCTCCATTAATAATTTGGATTTGTGGTTGGCAAAACAATGGGTCAAACAATACGGTAAGGATACAACAGAGACAATAGTTGAAGCTGCCATGTCCCAGTCCCCAGTGTTCATCACTGTTAATCATGCGATTCAAGATGATGGCGAATACGATGATGATAGTTCAATGGCAAACTCTGCGATATACCAAGACCGAGTTATTGAACGATTGGAACAGATAAGAGATATTTTTTCGGCTAGCGATGATAAGGGCGACCTACTACCAGCAGAGTTACTTCCAGTTGGATCCATTCGGATACCAGATAATCTTGGTGGAGTTGTGTCAAAGTGGCCGCTATATGATGAAGGCGCATGGTGGGTTCAGGATGTTAGTGCGACATTGCCGGCAATAGCTCTTTTTAACAGCCTGTCCAGTAAACATGAAGAGCAACACGTACAAGATATGCATGTGGTGGACTTATGCAGTGCTCCCGGGGGTAAGACTGCTCAACTATGCTCGATGGGCTTTGGTAGTGTCGATGCCATTGAACTTAGTGCTAAAAGGAGTCGCTCACTTCGTCAAAATCTGAAGCGACTCGGAATGGAAGAAATTTGCAATGTTGTCGTAGAAGATGGGAGGGAATATGAGCCAGACGCTATGTCAGGTCCTGTTCGTGGAATTTTAGTTGATGCTCCTTGTAGTGCTACTGGTGTTGGAAGCCGACGTCCTGATGTTCTTCGGAAATCGATCGATATTACGGAACTTTCGGCCATCCAACGGGAGCTACTCGTCCATGCAGCAGACAATATTTTAGAGGTTGGTGGCGTACTGGTTTATGCTACATGTTCGTTGTTGAAGCAAGAAGGAGAAGATCAAATAAATTGGTTGCTTTCCGAAGTTGGATCCAACGCATCGAATGCACAACTAGAGACGATACCTTTTGCACCTGGTGAGATCCCAGGATTTGATGACTGTATCGACGAGAATGGGTGGCTTCGTGTCATACCTGGTGTCTTGCCTGGCTCATTAAAATTCTGTGATGGCTTCTTTGTAGCTAGATTAGTTAAAGTATCAAAATAGTATACACTTACCGTAGTAGAAGCAAYTGAGGGATAACTTTTGTAATTACTAGTACCACCAATAATTTAAAGCATGAGAAAAGATATAAAGTGAGTTCACCCGACAGTTTTCTCTGGATCAGTACTTACACTATCGCGGTTTGCTAATAGTAGTAGTCGTAGTGGTACGGTACGAAGGATTGAGACCACAGAAAAAACACTGCGTCAAAGAAACATTCGTCATWCCGGTAGAAAAAGTAAGTCTTCGTGAGAYAACGTCGAAGAAATGGAGGAGGCAGGAATCGAACCTGCGACTTGTCGCATGCAAAGCGACCACTCTACCCCTGAGTTACACCCCCTCTTTGGTCCMTTTCAASCCGACATTTTGTATATATWTTAAACCTTGTACTCCTAGGATAGGTTAAGATACAAACTAGTAAATGATGGAAAACAAATAAAAAATATGATAATAAGAAGATTTTCAATGTTTATGTGGTTGTTGCCAAATTTCTACAATATCAAAATAATTGAGACAGCAACAAGAACAAAAAGTTGGGTGAGTTTCTAGTAATTAGTAGTACTTCTACTAGAACAACAACACATCTTCTTGTTGATCTTGTTCTTCTTGTTCTTGTTCTTGTT